TTTCTTTCTCCTGCCCTTGTCTCTTTCTTTCCTTGATTTTGTTTCCTTCCACTATAGTGGCACCGTACCAGCACCACCACAGAAACAGACGGCTTCCAAGTCAAGCGTCCAGGAAGCGAGAACGTCAAGTGTACCCTACTTCTCCTCTTAGACCATCAGGTTAGTTTCATAGCTCAGTAACTCAGAGATGTACCTCTCACTACTGTTTCTGGTAATGATACCGAAGATTCCTCAAAAGTGCCCTGGGCAGTGTAGTTTGCAAGCCTAAAGATACATGTAGAGGGGAGACAATCCCCAGAAGAATATTCTGGGTAAGACCCTTGGAATCAAATGGGGGCTGATTTGCCACAGCTGCTCACCTCTTATCACTGTAAACCCCTCTGAAGATTGTTGTACCGGGACAACCGTATTCCTAAATTCTGTCAAGATTTGTCTGGAAATTAAAAACTGAAGTCTTGGTGTTTTTCACATGATTTTTTCAGCACTTACATGTAGCACTTTACCATGATGACTTTGATATAAAGTACATGTATGTCCAAATGTTGAAGTTATGAATATGCATGGCATGTGCATGACCAAGGAGTGAGTGGAAATATATAAACTGACAGCAAAATCCACCAAGATTGCAATGTTAATTGACTCCAGAGCTTATTTTTGTCCAAAATTACTCTGACTTACACTGACCTGTTATAATTTTGCGAAGAAAACTTGACCGACACAGGACTTGAACTGTTGCCCCTCTCTTCTCATCATTTTGGTTGAAACTGGTGTTTCAAGCTGAGTTTCAAAGTCCTGGATCTAAAGTTGGACAGGCAGGGCACTGATGAACAGCCCTTAAATCACCAAATGTGCACCCCTTTGTAACCCTTCTTGAACCATTCACTCCCTTTGCACAATCAATTACCAAGTCCCCAAAACATCTGGTTTCTCGGCACCCCTTGCCCGACCTCGCCGGACCAAATTACCCTCTTTTGATGTGGCACCTTCCCTCCTCCTCGCCTTTCTTTTCTCTGGCCAGACCAGTCTCATCTGTCTGTCCACCAGCTCGTTTGTCTCTTGGCCCTACCAGACTGTTTGTTTTTCTGTTGTTTTGTCAAAGAAAACACTATCTTCAGTCTGTGGCTGGTTGTTAAACAGGCTTTGGGCAAGGAGGACATTGACATAATCTAGTTTCCGTTTTTTAAAGTTTTTGGCATGAAAGGTGGTTTCTTTTTGGGGACGGGACGTCAAAACATTGGTCATGCTCATAGGCACCTTACTCACCTTGTATGACAGTGATTAATTGCTTCATCTTGCATTTGTCTGGCCTTTTAATCATTCTCCAAACCTCATCAAAATTGGTCTGGTTGGGGGAATGTCAAAATTTTAAAAGAAAGATAACCTTAACCTCTGTGAGATTGGAAAAGGTACTTTGGAAACCAGGGCAGTTTGTTGAACCTGCTCTTCATTTTTTAAAGACCTGACGGACAGTGACAAAAGTGACAATGCCAAACAAGGCCATCCAGAACATGTTTAGCCCTAGAAAAGACAAGATGAAGTTTCCCTTCCATCACTCCCCCCCCCAAAAAAAAACCCCGCCTGTCTGCACACACTTAATGAATTATTTTTCTGGGAGGGAATTGCTTGTCCTTTGAGGTACCGTAGTTTCATGAATTGCTCTGAGAGGAAAATACTCACCTAAACCTATTGTCACACCCAACCAATTGTCACACCCAACCCTGATTAGTTCACCCCTTATTTCAGTTTCGTGTAAGGTGTTTAATTTTCCAGAAATAAAACATACCATCCTCTCCCCCCTCCCCAAAGGAGGAAGGTTGAAATTTGCATGAACTCAAAATTTCTAGCAAAGGTCCTCCAACCCAGACTGATTAGAAAACGCCACCCAGGGTGCAAGGAATTCATATTTCTCAAGGTCGCTGATAGCTTAATTGGCCAGTGACTGTTACACAATGATACACAATTTTTTTCTTGATAAGAGCAACAGGTGGCTCTCAGTCTCGGGTCATTGTCGCTCCTCTTTCCTGTAAAAAAAGAAGATACTGATACTAATGGAATGTTTGGCCAAGAGAGAGTTGGAACTAGGACACAAGTCAGTAACCTTTGGGGTTTTTTTTCTCCTCCAACCCCCCCCTACAGCCACCTCAGTACAAGCTAGACCCCCGTCTGGCACGCCTCCTGGGCGTGCACACCCAGACACGCCCAGTCATCATCAACGCCCTGTGGCAGTACATCAAGACCCACTGCCTACAGGACTCCCATGAGAGAGAGTACATCAACAACGACAAGTACTTTCAGCAGGTTGGCATCACCAGTGGAAGAGAGGCCATCTTGGTCTAGTTTCCACGACTGAGTGTTCATAAAATAACCTTTTTTTCCATCAGTGATGGTAGACTAATTGGGTGGGATTTGGATGGTATTCTTAAAGAACAGAATGGTCACACCTTATTTTGAGTTCTGGGCATTTGTTGTAGTTTTTTTCATTTAAGTCAGAAAATGCTTGGTGGGGTGGAGGCCATAATAGTTTCCAATTTACAGACATGATGATTTTTTTTTTTCATTTTTGTTATCCTTGCAACAAAGGAAGACTTAAAACAGATGACAGAAAAAGTACAAATGTTCCGATTTTTACCAAACCATTAAAAAATGGAGGAATCCGCCATGAAACTTCCCTTCCTTGTTCTTCTGATTGCAATTCTGTTTATGAGGCAAGGGACTACTTTTCCTAGGCAGCTTTTCATTTTCACATATGTGCTTTACCAAAAAGCAGCTTAGCAGCATGTGAGATGTACAGCATGTCAACTCATTCCTGGCTGATTTTTGTATAATGTATAAATAAATGAGCAGTGTTTCTGCTTTGAAACTGGTCCAGATTGGAACTTTACAATGCAGGGTAAAGCCCGGCTGTTCCATCTCCTTTCAGATATTTGAATGTGGGCGGATGAAATTCTCTGAGATTCCTCAGCGGTTGCATCCCTTGCTGCATGCTCCAGATCCCATTGTAATCCATCATGTCATCACAGTGGACACCGCTGACCAGAAGAAGACGGCCTGCTATGACATTGATGTGGAAGTTGTAAGTAAATCTGGGATTCTGTTAGTTGTGTTTGGTTTTGTCAGTAATTTGGGGTAGCGTACCAATCAAACAGCTTCCTAGGAAACTCGGGAATATTTCCTGCCCCTGGAAAATTGTAGAATTTCTGCAATTGCTAGAACTTCTGGGTAAAAGTTTTTTGAATTTGGTTTTCGTCCTGAACCATCCTGGAATTTTCTGGTTCCCTGAAACTTTAAATGACTTTGTTCTTTCCTGGAAAAAGTTCAATGTGTCGCATACAAAATAATTGAGGTTTTTCGTAAGCATTCCTGACACTATTAAATTTCTTGGAAAAAAGGTTTGAAAAATGTCTAAGCTTTTTAATAGTGAAACACATTCTTTTTTTGTGTTGAGAACTGGGGGAAGCTATGTGTGTAAACAGGTAGAATTCCTTTTAATCTCACCATGACTGTATTTGTTAATGATACAAGGAAGAATCAGTCTTTTAGAGTTGATTTGAGCATTGGCCGTTGTTTTAAGTCAAGTTGAAGCAATGGCTTTAATACCAGCAGAGGTTGGCCATTCTATTCATGCAACGTCGTTTGAAAAAAAAAAAAAAAGAGAAAATCACTGTCATTCCCCTCCCTTTCAAAGGCACAGCATTGGCCTGTCAAGCATGAGCTGCTGGCGCCGCACTGTCGTCGCTTGTCCGACATCATTCCAACAGCTCGTGAAATCTGTTCAGTGGATGGAAAGACAGTGAACTGTTCATTCTCAGACACCGCACAATCCACCCTCTAACATTCTGCCTCCCCCCCCAATCTCTGTCCCCCGACTTGTATTCATTTACTTACCAGGGCAATGAACGTGCGTTGGACCTGTCCCTAATGCTCCGATCAATAGTTTTGAGCGTAGCCTTAGTTTACCCATTCATGATTTTTTTTCTGCAGTTCACGCCTCCCCTCCTACAGGCTTTCTGATTGAAGCTGGCAAATTGCAGCTTTGCGTATCCCTCCGTTTGTACATGTACATCCCATGCTACCCCGAAATCATTTTAATTTCTTGACTGATGTTGCATGACCTCCAAGTGAACCCAAGTTTAAAGAGGCATTCTACCAGCCAACAACAGAATCGAACACCCCAAGGCAGGTGTGGCTCATGATCCAAAATTCCTGTCAGCATTTAGGTCAGGGGCCAAGGTTCTTTTTTTTTTTAGGCTGTGTGAAAGTTTCGGACTCAAACTTTACTACGAACACATTTTTTGCGTGCAGGCGGGGAGGGGGGGGTAAATGGAAATGTGGGACAAACCCTGATGAGATCGTTCATCTTGAAATCAAATCAAACACATATTTTTGGAAATGTCATCGGGGGGGGGGCAAGCTAATATCACCAATGAGAACTTTCCCCAAAGAGCAAAGACTTCCTGATGAACCCCTGTCTTAAATTTGGCACTGGTAATTAGAAGAAATATGTGGTCATCAGGCACTGGAATTTGTTTTGGGTGGGGCAAGCCTGACAAGTTAAACTTTGAATGATGTCTGTAAATTGTCAGATGGTCAAACCAGGAAGTTCACTCAGGAATTTGTATTTGTGAGAAAATGTGTGCCATGTTTTCATACTCCTGTGAATAATGGATTTTTCCATTCGTTGAGCAAAAGCATGGCGCGGGCAACTCCTAATGTGATCACAGCACAATTTCCATCACCCGGTATTCTTCACACATCATGATGACCATAAGAAAGGCTTTCCCAAATTAACCCTAACCATGGTGAACACAACAGTGAGCTCTTTCTGTGGGATTTGTTGATGTGAGCAGTAAAGAAAAGGCCTTTTGTTCAAAGTGTTGGATTCTGTGGGATTCTATGGGATTCAGCAAGCTCCATACTCTTCTGTTGTTGTATTCTGTTGATTAAGGAGGTTGCCTAGGGACAACCCGAAGAGGGTTAGTGTTTAACAGAATATAAAAGAAGGTAATTTTTTCTCAATATGGGCGATTCACAATAGTGCGCCACCAAGAACTTGCAACACATCAGCCAATTACAACGAGCGAAATCTGTTGACCCTTTCCAAATGCGCATTGGGTGGACAGATTTTGTGCATTGTGATTGGCCAACGCGTTGCAAACTCTTGGTGACGCACTTTAGAGAAACGGCCGTATTCACATTGCTTTCAAATCCCCCCCCCTTTGTTTCTTCTGCCGGTACTCTGAGCAATGCAGTGCCACATGCAGCCTTCAGAACTGATCTCGCTTTAACGGTGAACAACTGCTATTGTCACTTCCAATCACTTGATTGAAATGTCTTGTTGCAAGTGGATTATAGGCTGTGAGATAACGGCCCCTGTGGATAGGGATCCTGATAATTAACAGAGTGAGTTAGCAACTTTAAAGAATTTGCACCGCATTAAAGGCAGCATTAGTCACTTGTTGAAAGTGCTGTCCTTTTTTTTTTGAGAGAGAGAGAGAATTTTTTGTCACATGAGAAGTTACTCTTTGGTGGAATAGCCAATTTTTTTTAACTGTTGGGGGTTGTTGATGTATCCGTGGTCATTACACATACATGTAACTTCAGATCCTGTACCCAGGATATGCCAAGTTTTCACACACCTTCAGATCCTGCCCGCAGAGTAACCCAGGTTGTCACCAGTGTTGTATCCGAGACCTTGATGTCTGAGACTGAGGCCAAGACCAAGGCATACGAGACCAAGACCTACTCCTTCAAGACCAAGACCAGGACTTCGAGACCGAGACTTTTGCAGGTCGAGACTGAGACCACGACATCCGAGACCAAGACCGACCATAAACCAATCTTTAGTTATTACCAATTAAGTACACAAGAAATAAAATGAAAACGTTAGCATAAACACGCACAAAACCAAGATGATTCTATTTTTCTCACTGCTAAAATGGACTTTTTTATGTGTAATTGATTTCAGGAGGCTGATTAGTCATTAAGGAGGAAAATTAATGAATCACTTATATGGAATACTTCCCGCATTTTTTTCAGAACTTACTTTTGCTTGTGAACTCGTTTCAGGTGGCGTGTGAACGCAGAGGTTGTCCCACATGTTCCTGAGATGGTCTTAGAGCAAAACTTGCATTGTCCACAATGTTTGCCTCCCCCTTTTTTGCTCCCCAACAATTCTCTGTGGTTCTTATAACCAAACAGCACTACGGCCAATGTATTTGACATCGTAGGGCCTGGAGGTTTCAGAAGCTGACGATGTTGCAACATGTACCGTAGCGAAACTACTAAAACAACACGTACCACATACAAGACGGAATGAAAGTACTTTCACACGTTCACACAATTCATAGCGTGTGCACACACACAGACTGGTTCCCATCCTGGCCCTACGTTCAGCAGGAGACTATGTAGGGAACGGGAACCAGTCTAGTGTGCGAATTCCAGTACTCACAACCTCATCTCCAGGGTGTCAAGCAGCATGGCTACTCTGGATTGGAAATAAAGTAACAACTTAGGACAAGGTTGCATCATGCTGCATTGACTAGTCTTCATTCCAGCATCGATTTCATTGTTAATTGCAAAAAATCTGAACATTACTGTGTTGTATTTATATCAGTGGTTGAATATTGACTCGAGTGGAGGTAATTTTGCCTTTTGCAACCGCGTGTAAGCATGGTAATTAGATGCGCATTTTGTTATGGTCTCGACGGTCTCGAGGGGGAGTCCCGAGTCTATGGCATCAGAGACCAAGACCGAGACTGGCGCTTTCAAGACCGAGACCAGCCCTCCCAAGACCAAGACTTTGACAGGGTGAGATCGAGACCGCAAAAAAGGTCTTGAGACGGTCTCAAGGCCGAGACCAGGTCTCGAGACCTACAACACTGGTTGTCACACACCTTTAGATCCTGTATTCAGGATATCCCAGGTTGTCACACACCAGCAGATCCTGCACCCAAGTTGTCTTGGGTTGTGTCCCACATCTTATATCTTGCACCTGTGATATCCCAGATTGAAATCCAGCACCCAAGAT